TCAACGGCGCGAACAATCCACATCAGTTTCAGCTGTTACTATAGAATCTTAGCCTGCTGCGATGCAATCTTCGCCACATCTGCCAACTATTATTCCCGGTAATCGAATATCACCTGCTGCTTCTTCCTTTTGCCTTCAACTGGCAGCTTTATCATCTTCTCAAGACGTAATTTGTAAAGGTGTCGACGTTCATGTATAAAAGGGGACGAACATTTTCCATTCAAATAGCACCACGAAAAGTCTGTACATATGTACAGTATAAAGGAACAGTTAATCAGTAACGTGGATTGAATTTACTCACTCTACAGCTTTCCTGAATATCCGATACCCGTAACATAAGAAATAGATGAGATATCCACCACTTATCTCCTTATCTGTCGACTAATCGTTTAATGCTTGATAGAATTAAATAAGTTCACATACGAATTATTTCCTATAAAAGGATCGACGATTGATTGTTTAAAAAACAAAAGATATAAAGAAAGCAACACTATATTGTCTGGGTGGATGTGACTTTATCAATACGCAGGACAAAAGACCAATTGGAGACAAAAACGATACCCATACAAATACTTTCAACTCTAGATAAGTCGTTAAGTGTGTATCCAAACGCTGTGGTAGCTAAGATTCTGGATATCGACATTGTTTTACATTTTTAGTTGTGGAGTGTAAGTCATGCATCAGAGCAATACTGAGCGACGTTTATAGGATCGAGTTGACGTTCAAGTGCACCTGTGAAACAAGATATTTTCTGATATAATTTTGTGATTAGCATAAAATATATATTGTGAAGATGAGACTACCTTTGACAGGTTATTTATTACTTCGATAGAGTAGTAGGATGAGGTGGGATACTTCAGCGTGATGGGAACTCGTCTGAGGTGCCCCCGATCAGTCTCACCCGTAGAATCCGATTTAACAGAAAAGAGGCGAGCCACTTGAACAGTACACCACCCACTCCCAGTTCTATCGCCTTCAACAGCAGCACGTCATAAGGTACGCTATCGAATGCCTTCGTCATATCAAGGAAAATGACGTTAACTTCTGAGTCCTCCTCCAAAGCCGATGTAGTGGAAATTCGCGAATTCCAAAAGGTTTGTGACAGTGGATCGTCCCTTAACGTGGCTATGCCGTACAGAAGTAATGCTGGCCAGCAGTATACAGCTATGGCCCGTAATGGACTAAAGAGTCAAGTAATTTAGGTATGTAGCTCGTTATTGCTATGGTCTATAATTTGGTACTAGTTGTAAATTATTTGTGAATGGGGAAAATGAACGCTGACTTTCATTGCTCTGGTAAAACACCGAGTTTAAGAGAAAAGCAAATGAGCGGCCAAGAACCGATGAGCAGTTTTTGATAAATAAAAGGGGAATGTCGTCTGGGCCAGAGATCAGTCAATCGTGCTGGTCGGTGCCGTTCGAATATTCCTAAGCATCCGGGTTCCAAACCTGGTCTGAGGGTCTCGTCCTTCCTATTGAAGTCCTACGGATTTTTTGGATCTCGATTACTTCTCTAATCATCCTGCTGTGATAGCCGTTGACCGTTGCAGTTCTCAAAGAGTCATAGTCGACTTATCAGTGTTTCCTAGTAGACTATGAGGCTGAACAGGGTCCCGTGGTCCTTAGTTGATGTGATTGTCTGCTGAATTTTCTTCGTAGGTTTGAAGATGGTTCTGATGTAGTGTCTCTTCAGGACTCTGTCAAATTGGTCTATACCTTTGGAACATATGGTAGATATGTTAGAGAGATAGTGTATCGTGGTAGAGATATTAATCCGTCCAGGGAATGAGAAGTGGCCGGTCCGCATCGAAGATGGAAGGACCTCGGAAAAGCCCGCAACCCCTGCTAGAGAAGTATCAGGAAGCAACTCCAACATTCGACGGCTTTTAGACTCGAATCAACACAGCATTAATAAATAAAGTCTAAAAATGTCGATCAGTATTCTAGAATATTTGAATGACAACATCTGGATGCAGTGTAGAGTCCATCTCGCGATAGCTCTTCAACGTAGGGGAAGTGTAATAGGTAAACACAAAAAGTACCCCAGTTAACGAGCCATCAGTTACTAAAAACAACTGCCAGTTTGGCAGCCGCGTTATTTTATTGCCCTTCGTTATTGTAAGCGTCAAGTGACCAAACACTCATCCCTACTCGTGACCTTCGCAGTAGTTGGTGTGCAGACAGGTTAATTGCCTGCACTCTGTAGTTACTATTCGATTAGCAAAATTACTGTTACTACCACAAAATACAAAAATAAGGTTGAGTGTGAAAATAAACAAAACACGCAGAAAATGCGAACATGGTGGTCATTTCCGAACCAGCTGGGACTTTCGGTATGGTCATTACCCTCATGTTTATGTGTGGTGTGAGATGGCTCATTCTATTTTTTTTTTTCACGTACCTTCTTCTTCCTTAAGTTTTTCAGGGTATTGGGCAGACATAGTGTATATATCCCTTTTACAATACAGAGAGCTCCATTGATAATATAGTACTACCTATTTTAAAGTTTAATAGGCAGGTTTCCACTATTCTATTTCTCAAGATGTCGACCTCGCTTACGTCACCATACCCTCTATTGTATTTAGCAATTTAGAAAAGAACACGAAAGAAGACAGATTTTCCGAGCGCTACGCCATCATAAATAATTATATAGTAGACATAGTTTTAGCCAAGTGCTTCGCGATTTGCACTTTTAATAAAAAGAGTTAATTCGCTTAACAAGCGAATTGGAATGGATCCAGGAGGAACGTAAAGAGTCGTAGTAGCTCCGTTGAAATATTCGCTTTAAACTGTCAAGAGCAAAAAAAACTGACAACGGCGACAGGACGAACTTCCCGGCTCTAAGAATCGTGGTGATTAATAGAGCGGAAGCTCTCGAGGGCAATCAGTTGGCTGCCGGAGAAGGGCAAAGGAAGACGAAGACGACGTCGAAGAAGAAGTTTTCTTTAGGCGAAGACATGAATTTTAATGGAGCTCTTCACGAAAGAAGCACTTCACCGTACTTACTACACGGATCGTTCTTCCTTTGTTTTTAGTTTTGGCCTCATGGATTTTACACACGCGAAACAAGATTTGACTTTTAAAGTAATTACTTTGGAAGAGTTTTCAGTCATTGTTGCCTTTAAAGTAACGAGCCGCCAGCGGGAACGTTATGAATAGCAACCGCTCCGTACAGGATATCTCTTTCTTAGACTGAGACGGTTTCAGTTTCGACTTGGAAATCGTCTAAACTGAAACGAGAATTATATTGGGTGGCCTCCCGCTGTCAAGACGTCTTAACTTCAGCTAACTTAATAAGGAAGAGTGCAACAAAATAATTTCCGCGGATGTTGTATAATCCTTTTTCTCAAGCTCGTAACTTCACTTACAATTGACAATAGAAATAGACAACAGAAGACGTTGTGTAATTGTATCGGAAAACTAAGTACAAATGTTTTTTTTTCTGTAATGTTTGCTTTTAACGTAAAGCTATATTTATCCTTTTAGGGACTTTTTACAACGAAGGAATAAAATGTTTGATACATATGTATACTTGGGACAATTAAAGAATGTTCTCATCATCATCATCATAAGGTCGTCAGTCCTAAGATTCGTTGGATACGTACCTCCACTCTTTACTATCCTGAGCTAATCTTCGCACTTCTCTAAAACTAGCACAACCCACATCCTTAACTATTTGCGAATAGTAATCTAACCTAGGTCTACCTCTACCCCTCCTAACTCCTGTTTCTGCCTCTAATATGTCTCTGACTAGACCTTCATGTCTGAGAAGGTGTCTTACTAACCTATCTCGCCTATTTTTTATTCACTTCCATTGAGTCCTCTGTTCTCTTATTATTTCTAATACCTCTTCATTTTTAACCTTTTCTACCAACGTTATCCTCATCATTCGCCAATAACACCACATTTCGAAAGCTTCTAACCTTTTCCGCCGCGCCCACTGTGCATATTTCGCACCCGTAGAGCGCCGTACTCCAAACATACACCTTAAACAACCTTTTTCGAATTTCTAAATTAACCATTCGCGAGCATACAAGTGACTTCTTTTTATTAAAGGCGACACGACCCTGCGCTATCCTCGGCTTTATGTCCCTATAACTTCTTCCGTCCTGATTTCCTAGATATCTAAAATCATCCACTTCTAATTTTTCGTCTCCTATCTTTATATTCGCTCTTTCCCTACTTTTTCTTTCCTTGCATTTTAGGAATTTTGTTTTACTTTTATTTATTTTCATACAGTACTGACATGTTAGTACCGCACCCATTTTATTTAAAGCTATCTCTTAGTCCTCCTTGCTAGATGCTAAATAATGTTTTCAAAACACAATTTAAATGGAGTTGCGCGTTGCAAAGCTGTAAGTCGTGCCAGCTTTCAGCGACCCCTCCGCAATATTGTAAATGTATTATTATCAACCGTTAATATTTATGAAGTATTACCGCACTTTTTTCATTGTGTTTATATGTATCTGACAAATTTTACAGACGTAAAGGAGTTATTTTCTGTTCATCTTATTGAAACATATCAAAAATTACATCACATATACGCTGCACGTCATAAAATACAAGGTTAAAGGAAATATTTAAGATGAAGTAATTGTCATTGTCATTGTCTCATAGATTAAGACTAGGTGATTATTAAATTTAACATTGGATTATCGAATGTAAGAAAATAAACAACTAAAAGGGATAATCAACCAATTAAAATAATCGGTTATTTAAATTTGTCAGAATAGTCAGGTTATTTTTATTTAGGCTTTGGTGGATCAGAACCTCAAACACGGGGGAGTGGCATGTACCAGACGGTAACATATATTAGGTATATGGAGTGTGTACTTTATGTTAACTAAATAACTGCAGACGGTTTGGTGAACGCCATCTCTAGATATTTCCGATTTTATGATATTGGCTTGTTAAACAGAACTCATGCCGCCTGGTGTTATTTTTTAAAGGCTGTTTAACGGTAGCAAGATCTAAATCAGGCTACTAAAAAGAATCACCTACCTCTGAATGTTGGCTATGTATTACTTGAAAACGAGCATCACTACTGTATGTAACAACACCCACAGTCAAAAGATGGTAGTCTTTTCGTCTAATCCACGATACCTGAAAAAGAAAATAAATTTCTAAAAATATTATCTATAAATATTAAAGTTAAAATTGTTAAAAGTGTTTATTACTTTTAGGCCGCTGGCTCTATGGGACATTGGAGTTTTGGTTTCTTCTTGGAACTTTTGTTTTTTAAAAAGAACTCACAATCTTTTAAACAAACTTTATTCCAAAAAAAACACCTTTTGACAATTACTTACTAGCAATACCCTATGGGCGGAAGCTAGTCAGACATAAAAAGTCTTAAAAGTAAAAGTACAGTAAAGGTGAAGATGCACCTGTATTTATAAATTAAATTATCTGATGCTGCAGTCACTGCGAAACACGCCATACCTTGCGTGGCGTGATATCTTGCGATGCGTGGCGTGATTTTGTTATGGGAACACGTGTTAGCTTGGATAACTTTGGTGATCGCCACTAGAAGCGGTCAGATGCTGAGGACAATATTAATGACCCATTTGGGCACAAGCTGTGGAGACCTACCAGTTGCATTGTTAATAAATCAATTTTGTTACAGCACAAGAACACCCCTCCAACTACAACACTGTTTTGTGTTGTGTAGTTCGTCTCGGTATAATAGTGTAAAATATAATCGTCAACATCACAAACCTTTCTCAATACTGGAATACAGTTCAAAAAAATTGTAAAAAATAAGTAAATATTAGTTTGAAGTGTACGATAGGTAATTGTTAAGCTTTAGATGTACTCCACTGTATATTAGTTGAGAAGGATTCGAAATTATCATAGGATGTGCTGTATACGATTGAATTTCAGGGTGGTGTGCTGGAGTGCACTGTATGTAGTTACAAATGAAGTCTTTAGGGGTGAGTTCTTGCGTTTAGTTTGGATTTATGAATAACGCAGCTCGGTCTTGCTGCTTGGAGCTGGTAACGGCTACTCGTTTGCCGGTGCAATCTTAAACCACTGGCCCTGGCACAGTTTGAATTGAAACGGCTTTGACACAGTTATGGAATTACATTGCAATTTCTATCTAGGGCAAGTGTCTTTTCAAAATTGACAGTCTAGTAGATTGAATATATCAATTTAAATACAACAATTTCAGCTTAATTTTCAAAATCATATCTTTTGTTATTTTTTGGCAACTTTTTTGCTTTGGTCTTTTTTAAAAATTTCAAGAATTTTAGGCAAGTCACACTACAAGTGATTTTAACTATTAATTCTGGCATGATGTTTCGGTTGTCTGCCCATAAGTACTTCAAATGCTTGAGTGATGGAGATCGTTAGTATTTTGAATTTTTAGTTTGAATACTTATTTAAATTGACCTGGCTTAAACAATTAATTAAGGGTGGTACAACCAGCGCTTGCAATGGCTTCTATAGAAATTTACCTAGAAAAAAGGGAAGAAACATCCAGCAAGACAAAAGGGAAACAAAAAAATTTTTGGGTGTTTCATTCCCACCAGCCAGTAATGCTGGTGGGCGGGCAGTCCCTCCGGATTACGCCGGAAGGTAGGGCGGAAGGCCCTCTTCAGTTTGCTTTCAGGAATCGTGGGAATGGCTGGGTGGTGTGGTTAGGGTAAGAACGTTGAGACGGACGAAATGAAGACAGAAGAGAATGAAATATTATCTGTGGAATATTACTATCCCAGCAATTGCCTCAGTGATGCAATAAAACCACAGTAGAACTTGGACGAAGGTAAACGGTCACGGAATCGAACCGGCGTCCTCCCGAATGCTAAGTAATGGTTTAAACCTTTAGGTGGTGCCGCTCGGTAGGTAAACAAAGATAACCACCTTATTTAGCTATAAAGTGCCCCAGTTAAAAAGTTTTATTTTTGTAACGTCTCCACAATAAAGTCTAAATTTTCGACATCTAACTTTTGAATTGTTTGAAGAGTGAGTTGAACTCATTGTCATTACTTAATAACAATAATAATATTGTATATTGATATTATTTTTCTGCACACTACAAAGACCCCATATGCCAAATTACAGCAAAATTGGTAGTGCATTATTACGCGAAAACCAACCAAATGCAAGAACATCATCAATACTATTCTCGTAGACTAACTGAAGCCTGCACTTTTCATCTACAGCTAATATTTATTCAAATGTTCATGGGAAAACCTGCCTACATAAAGTAGCTTTATGTTAAAAAGCAATGATTTAAGCTGTTTAATATATTCTTTATATGAACTTAATGAACCTATATGGCGCATTATTGCTTTAATGATTCTTGTTGCATCCCTACATACCTAGTAAACAGAAGTTTAAACATAAGTTGATAAGGCAAAAAACTCAATATTCTTTGTTTCCACAAATGACATATACCTATGGTATATACGTACATGTATTCTTTCGGTCTCATATACTACCCATATCTTCAATAGGGGTTTGATCTTTTATAGGCTTTGTTTGATCAAACACCTACTGCAGAGAATCTCAATAAAGTTGATTCTGCAATTGCGATTGCGAAATAATTGGAGTACGAAGATAAAAAGTAAAGTTTATGAAATGAAAAATTTGAGCTATTGCTATAGACATACGCATTACTGTTTATTTGCATATTCTTTCTCAAAAGGGAAAAGAGATCATTTAAACGCAAATGTTCAAAATACGAGGTCTGTTCAAAAAGTATCGCGAATTTTGCATTTCCGCGGGTTACATATATTCGACTTTCGATTTTTTTGCAGCGTCATGACTCTCATTTATACCGTCAAATTCAGTCATGTTGAATGTTCAGTTAATTTTTGACGGCTCATTTGCTTTCACGTGTTTTGGCTCGTCTTCGATTTTTCTTTATTCCAAAAAATGGATCCAAGAATCTGTCTCAAATTTTGTGCGAAAAACAAAATTAAGTGCGCGGACGTTTATCGGTGATATAAAACGTTCTCAGAGGGTCGAGCAGATGTGAACGACTAAAAGCGTGCCGGACGCCCAAGCACGTCAACAACATTTGAAGACATTGATGAAGTGAAGAAAATGGTATTGGTCAATCGTCGAATCACTATTCGAGAAGTTGCTGAGATAAAGATGGCATCGAAAGAGGAGCTGAAGACCACAATAAGTAATTTTTTGAGGTGCTTTGAGGATTGGAAAAACGTTGACACAAGCGCATAATATCTGGTGAGGATTACTTTGAGGGGGACAAAATAGATATTCATGAATAAATAAAGATTGTTAAAGGTGCATATTTAGAAATGTGGTGTTACCGGCGAATGATGAGGATACCGTGGATAGAGAAGGTTAGAAATGAAGAGGTATTAGAAAGAATAGGAGAACAGAGCACTCTATGGAAGTCAACAAGAAATAGGCGAGTTAGGTTGGTAGGACACCTTCTCAGGCATGAAGGTTTAGTCAGAGACATATTAGAGGCAGAAACGAGAGTTAGGAGTGGTAGAGGTAGACCTAGATTAGATTACTATTCGCAAATAGTCAAGAATGTGCATGTCTAAAAAGTCTTAGACTGATGACTTTATGATAATGATGACGATCATTAATTCTATTGCCTTAACTCAAGACTTACGGCCTGTGGTATGATGAGACTGTACGCATATGTGTCTAATTATCTTTCAATCAACTTTTAATGGAACGTACCGATTTTTCAGTTCTGGTACGTTATAGCCGACTTTTACTGTATTTACCCTGTTCACAAAATATAGTACAGCCACCTTTAGGTTTGATTTATGGAAAATAGATATAGCCATAACATATTGAACGATTTAGTTTATACACTCACGTACCTTATGCCTAACATCAATAACACCGCTTCGGTAGGATTTCCTATAAAATTTAGGTAGGGACTTACATAAATTAAATTCCAGTCACACATATTTGGTCATATGCCGATCCCGTATAAAATTTCTGATATTGTAAAACTTTGGAGTTTAAATGTGTCTCTTGTATTACACAAAATGAAACCGACTTTTACAACCTTTCGTACACCGATGACAACCACAAGCCCGAAAACATATCGTAAGTTTAAAAAATACATTTGTATCACATAAATGGGTTGCATCCCACCCTTTTCATTTCAATAATATCGGTTTTATGTCGGCTCGAAGTGTATCAAAACTTTTCCAATTTCACTTTATCAAGAAAGTTACCGATTTTAGCGACCAGCTGCCGCCGCGTGTCGAAGTTGCTATTCAAATTCGACTTCTGGTGGCTGTTTTATCAATGCGCTAAGAACAGATTTCGGTCGTTATCCTCAAAATATGTAAATAATTCGAGAACTAGGTCTCCAACGGTAGGTTACGCTTCTTTATCGAAACAGTTAAAATGAAATGAAAGATCTGTTACCCGAATGCAATTCCTTTGGGAAATAACTCGAGTCAGATATTGTCTACTTAAAAGAGAAAATATGGTCTGAAGATAAATAAACCGTTCAGGAAACGCCACTGTTAACAATGTTAACTTCTTAGCTTAGGGGGTCAATTTGTCTCAAATGCTCTACCGCAGTAACTTCATGATCTTTGTTCATTTTCAGCTGCAGAATTATGCAAACCGAATCCATTAAAATTTAGGCATTAGTGAATGTAAACGAATCATTTATGAAGAGAAACTGAAAACGTCGAAGGGTCGAAGTGTTTAATTTTACCGAATGGACAGTACTTCATCGATTTATTATATACAGACACTGGATTTCCAATTTCAGCCCTTTTTATAGTATTTACCTTAAAATTACATCATAGACCAAAAAACTACAAGTTGACAGGGAAGACATTATCCGCATAGTGTTTGAAAGGATCAGACAGTACTGTGTGACACTCTTCATTATAATAAAGCAGGAGATGTAACAAAGAAGTTCATGGTCGAAAACTGCCAGACGCGATTTTATTAAATCTCATCACCGCGTCGCAGACAGGTTCGACACAACACAGACCAACTCTACCTGCTGCCTTGATACAGCGTTTTATGACATCCTACAAACGGCGCGGTGAACGCCATCTGTAGTACAATGCTACATTAAGTGGAATTCAATATGTCAACAAGGTCCATTTACACAGACGAATACATACTTGCTGAACCGAATC